CTGTGTGTTAATCTGGCTAAATCACTTAACATCTCTGCATTTACATCCATGTATGCAAATGAAGATGCTAAATGCTGCCTCACAGTTCTGCTATGAGACTGGAATGAGTAAATAACTCCATGAAAATGTTTGAACACTGCCATATTTATAACAGACTTACTCAATAATACTGGGTTCACTTTTTGTTTAGATTCCTTCAATTATTCTTACAGAATGATTCCTTCAGTCATTAGGTATCCACAGTGTTTTTCCAGTCTCTCAACTGTGAAGCCTCTCCTTTGGACAACTTCCAATATATCACTCACCTTCTCAAAGCACCAGAACAGAACAGACTATAAGAGAGAACTCTAGGTGTACTGTTATTTGTCTACACTAGAGTGGAGCCATGTCACTCACTTAATCTAAACAACTTACTCCTTTAAAAGTTGCCTCTTTGGGGCACCTGGGTGGCTCAGTCAGGTAAGTATACAACTTCGGCTCAGGTCATGATCTTGTAGTTCATGAGTTTGAGCCCCACATCAGGCTCTCTGCTGTCAGCATGGAGCCCACTTTGGATCCTCTGCCCCTGGTCTCTCTCTGCCCCTCCCCCGCTCTCTTTCTCACTGTCCTCTCAAAAATAAATAAACATAAAAAATTAAGAGTTGCCTCTTCTATTAGCTTGCTGTAGTGTCAGAATATTGGGTAAATATACCCTGACTTACACTGGGAGCCTCAAGAGATGCACAAACCAACATCTCAAATAAGATAAGCTTTTAAAACTAACTTGTAACCATTCATCCACAATGCTAACCTACATGACAATCTGGATGAAGTCTGGATCCATGTACATTATCAGGTCTGCGTTGTCATAAAACTCATAGTCGCCATTTACATTGCATTCAGTGCTATGGACAATCACTGGAGCTACAGCATGAGGCAGCTCTATTAATATGACATTGACACAGTAAAAGATGGAAGAAACCAAAGCCCTTTATCAGGAGTCCCTGTGGTTCCAAGGAGTTATTACATTATTATATGTTATTATAAAAGTAACATTTACAGAGATATTAATGCAACTCTCAAACTTCTGTTAATTGATCACACAGAGTTCATATTAAGAATATTAGTATATAGGCTCCACCCCTAGAGACTGTGATTCACTAGTTCTAAGACTCATCAGCCCAAATGACCAAAATGCTTATAACTAACAGGCCACAGCTGAAAAAACAGCTAGATTCAAGGAGTTTGGACAAAATCTAATTTATCTCTTCACTGTGTACTTAGCAGGGCAAAAAGCCTCTAGTGGCCTTGAGAAGACCCAGACAAAGAAAGGGGTGATATTTGCCAAGGGTTTGGATGAGGGCTATTGCTCTTGCCAGTTAGGATATGGAAAAGTGCCACGTTGTGCTGGCCTTTACCTATAACGGGCAGTAAGTATCAAGTACAACGATACCATAACACAACTGCAGAATACTTTTCTTTTTGAAGACCCGCCCCATTACTCAACCCCACGCCCCATACGTCAGCACCACGGACAGCTCAACACATATGGCTGGATGAGTGCTCTCCCTAAGGGCTGACAAGTTGGCAGCTTAAGGTTTATGGGGAAGGTAAGAAAACTGAGAGCTGTCTTAGCCACTTAGCCATGGTCCTTGAGTGGCTTTGTCTCAGTGGAGTCCTTCCCACTCGATGGGGGCTGCTTTCATCCTGATAGGCTTTATTGTGTGTGACGTTGTTTATAACTCAGACAGTGGCCTTTTAAGGTAGGGGCATATATATATGATTGAATTGTACGCTTGCATTCTGTTTTCTTTACTGTATGTATGTCATATATCGATGAATTTACAAATATTAATGCCAACTGATAATAAAGGTTCAGGAAAATAGACATCATCATCACTTACCCTCTTGCCTCCCTACACAACACTCCTGCATCTCCAGAAATCAGAGCTAGAGACCTCACTAGTCGAATTCATATAAATTATTCTTGGTTAGGCCCTGCTCCACCCCCACAGAAAACCGGATTCCACTCTTTTTCAAGTCCTAGTTTTCTTATCTGTCAGATGGGGATAATAAAGATCACTTTGAAGAGCTGTTGGGGGAATGGGATGTGCAATCCATATAGATTATCCACCCACAGGAGGCACTGGGATCATGCTGGGAAAGGTCTGCTTGCCTAGAACTGGACAGCCATCGACCTGACTGTAAGTATTCACTGCTCTAAGAATTCCTGTTCAACCCCAGAAGTACCATAATAGATTGGTACTGTTTGATTCTATCATAATCTATTAGAATAGAAGAATCCCATTTATTAGTTTCTTATGCCTTCTTGTCCTGCCATGTACCAGTTTCTCATGTCTCTTCCTTTATGGATCATTTTAAGAATAAGAGTAGCAAGCTATGGAGATTTTTCGAGCAATCATCATGTTTTAGATATTTTATAGGTATTTTATATACATTATGTCATTCAATCTTTTCAAAATAATCTCCATTTTACAGATGAGAAAAATTGAGACATAGGGAGCTTAACTGATTCTCCTATATTTCATAGCAACTAAACAAGAAAACGGAGATATTAACCTAAACATATTCATTTCAAAGGGTACATTCCTAACCAAGACAATGCAGCATGTAGGGGAAGGGGGTTCCATTACACCTTGAGACTGAGATCCTTTTGGGCTAGGTCCTCTATCATTGCCTACTATGTTTGTACCATCGCATCCCTAGGATTTGTAAACTCCATTGTCATTGTCAATTAGCCTTGATCTGTAAGCATTTTCTGCCTTAGTTTTCCTTGATTCAGTCTCCCCTTTCTTCTTAGAGATCTAATATAACAGTCCATAGGGCCATGCATAAGTCTGCTTTAATTCAGGTTTCATGCATTCATTCATCACATATTTACTGAGCATCCACCATGGACCAGGTATTGTGCTAATCATCAGGAATACAAGATCTCTCCCAGAAGACACAACTCCTGCCCCCAAAGAGATTCCAGTCTACAGGCAGAAACAGACAACTCTACAGGAAGTTGTAAAGTTTTAAGTTTATGACAGAGGTCAGAATAAGGACCACTGAGAAAGGGCACCTGTTATCTCACCACATTTTTCTCTGTCCTTCCAAGCCATCACAACACTTTTCGAGTTTTCTTGGGCGATCCCTTGATTTTGCAATTTCACAACTACGTGTTCTCTGAAAATCTGATAAATGTGGAATTGTAGGCTTCACAATAATCCAATGAGATAGGTATTATTATCATACCATTTTATAGATGCAGACTGAGGCTCTGAGAGGTAAGTCATTCACTTGGCTATAGAAATGGCAGATAACAGAACAACTATTTGAATTCATGTTTGTATTATTTTATAGCCTCTGCTCTTAGCCTCTAAACTATTTACCATGACCTTGAGAAGGTTACTTAGACTCCTTAGGAGCTCAATGTCTACAAGCATGAAAATAAATATTCAAAACTCGAATGTTGCTAAGGCCTATCATTCTACAGTTAAAGTGTAGGGACTGGTAACACTAAAAGTTAAGATCACATGCCTTAAATGGTGGCCAAAACTTGTCCTATTGGTTTTTCCAAACTCATTGTTTATTACTCTTAGTCTTTCATCCCCACCCAGGTTCTGGCAATTCTTCCCATCCCAATCTCCATGAACCTATACGACCTAGATGCTTCTGTACATTTGCTTCCTTCTGCTTCCCTCTGCTATTCTTTTGCTATCTTGCACTCAAAGTTGCACCTGTCATATGTACACATATGATTTGATAGAATTGAATAAAAAATGTTATGTTTAGGACCGAAAGCCAACTGCATGTATATAAAGTAAGAAATACTGAACTTCATTGTAGTTCAGGTGAAAAACAGGTAGAGGCTAGTTTACATGGTGAAGTGGGAGCCATCACAGGATGCATTAATAGAAGTCTGAGTGTTTCAGAGAAAGGAGGTAATCATTCCACTTTGGACAAAACATATGGAAAGGATTGGTGCTAGATCTGAACATGAACTTAAAAGGTAAAGATAAAATTGAATTATATTGAGATAAGGCTGACAACTATTGAGTAAGGATCTCAAAAATATTCAATACAGATCCAATTGCAAAAATATTTTTTTAAAAATAATAGGACCAATATGGTGTTGGAAGTCAGAAGGGTGGTTACCTCTGGGAAGGCATTAACTGGGAGTGAACATAAGGAAGCTGGGAATGTATTATGGTTTGATCTGGATGGACTCTTACGTAAAAATTTAAGCTGCATACTTAATATATCTTCTTTATTATATTTATGATAACCTTCATACACTTAAAAATAGTAATGCCAAGCACTTGGACAAGCAATTGAGGAAATAGGTGCCATCGCATCCTAGTGGAGCATGTAAACTGGAACATCTTTAACACTTTAACAATAGCTATCAAGAACCTTAATCAGTTTCTTGGGCCATGCTTTTTTTGCAAATGATTACAAAGACTACAGTGTCTCATTAATTCAAATTAATTGCGTGAAGAGTAAACGGTAGGATATAACATACTTGTAAAGTACATCTACACGGAATGAGATAAGAGTATTCTCCAGGACATTCAGGAAATTCCAACGAAGCTCATATGATCTTCTCGGTCATATTTTTTAATTAGCAAATAGTATTTGGGGAGGGGATATTTTTAGTTAGGAATAGGATTCGCAAGCATAATAAGAAGCAGGAGTTTCTCTGAAGTAGCTCAGTCTCCCTGCACTCACATTTGAATTCTTCCTTAATTTAACAAATCTTATCCTTGCCCATGGCAAAAAAAAAAAAAAAAAGCATTCTGTAGTTCCATTCAAATAATCAGGGTTCTAAATCATAAGGGCTTCCTCCAAGGCCTTTGGAATGTTTTGTGTTTTTTTTTTGTTTTGTTTTGTTTTGTTTTGTTTTTTTTTTTTGGTAATCTAATTGTGAACTTGAGCTATGCATGGAGGACATTTGACCAGACAGGGGTGCAAGGTGATGAGCAGGTAATGGGGCATCTTTTATGCTTGGTTCTTACCGTCTGCAATGAAGTGCTCAGGCACATGCAGAGTCACTTTCACGGTGAGTGGACAGGACATCTGACTGCCACACACCATGGCCAGGATGCAGGAGCTCACAGCAATCAATGTCAAGGCCGTCTTATTCACTGGGCTTTTCAGCAAACCTAATAACAAAAATACAACACAAAGATACATAAATCCAGGAGGTGAGAAAATAGGGATAGCATGGAATTTGGGAATCCTGTTATTTTCCAAATGGGAAGCTGGAAAAAGAAACCATATTTTCCAACATCTGTGTTTGCAATGACATCTCAGTGGCCTTTGTTGGGTCTCAACTTAACTCTCTGCAAAATGGGCTTATCATCCCCTTTGGTACAGATGAAAGAAACGAGCTTCCTGAAAACTGTGGTAATTCCCTCTCCTCCCCTCTCAATTAGGCTGGTCGTTTTTGGTAATTATTAAAAAATATTAAACTCTCTACTAGTTTTAGGAGCAAGTAGGAAGAAGTGAGAAGTGTTGAATTTGCAGAGCCCAGTGGAATGAACATGGGCTTTACAGTCTGACAACCGTGGGTTCAAATCTGGGCTTTAGCCCTCAGTGGCTGTGTGACCTGTTTCATTCTCTGAACCTCAGTTTTCTTACACATCTGATGAGAGTAGTAAGAAACAGCTCACAGGTTGTTGTGATGATTATGTGGCATAGTGTAGACACAATGTCTATCATCTAACAGGGTCTCACAGACTGTTAGAAGCCCTTCAGTTCACATTAGTGTTGCAGGCATTTACTGAGCACCTACTATGGAGATACATAGAGAGCAGCGCGAGAAGAGTTTTTGCTCTCCGGGAGCTTACAGGCTAGGGGGCTTATCCCCAGCTAATTAGACTCCAAGGCAAGTTGTGTTAAGGAACTAGCAGAGAGGGTGCAAGATGTGAAGGGGAGATTTGCCTGAGAAAATTAAAGGCAATTTAATAGATGCAATAGAATGAAGAGATTGGATTTGCATGGCCAGCAAAGCACTGGGCCAGCAGAGCAATTCTGTTGTCTGTGTCCTAAGCCCCCACTGTGTCTCATTCCTTAGGTCTTGCTACTGACAACTACTTTAAAGGTTTTGATAACATTTTTAGAACAATGGGTCCCAAATTTCTATCACCCACTAGGCTCTTTTGAGCAAACCTTTATTCCCAAGTCTCCTAGACATCTCCCTAAAGTAGTCCCAGGGGCATGACATAAATGTGTTCAAAAGTGAACACATTATCTTCTCCTTAAAGCTCCCTCCTCTTCCTGATCCTTCTTATTCTCCTCCTCCTGTTCTTCCTTGTCCTCCTCCTGAGCTCCCCAACTTATTGAAAATACCATCATTTAAACTGGCAAGAAACTGGGGCGCCTGGGTGGCGCAGTCGGTTAAGCGTCCGACTTCAGCCAGGTCACGATCTCGCGGTCCGTGAGTTCGAGCCCCGCGTCGGGCTCTGGGCTGATGGCTCAGAGCCTGGAGCCTGTTCCCGATTCTGTGTCTCCCTCTCTCTCTGCCCCTCCCCCGTTCATGCTCTGTCTCTCTCTGTCCCAAAAATAAATAAAAACGTTGAAAAAAAAAATTAAAAAAAAAAATAAAAAAAGAACCCCACTTGTTACCTTATCCTTCATCACTCATTGAGATTAATCACAAATGTAAATTCCTCTCCCTCTAGGCAAACAAACAGCCTACGTTTGCTGTGTTTCTCAAAATATCTCACTCCAACATTAGATTCTAGTAACTGGATGGTAAGCTCAGGTGCCATATCCTTTGCCTACCATCCTTTGATCCCAATGCCTAGCACAGTGTCTGGGATGTGGTAGAATCTCAGCAAATACATCCCAACTTCCAGGGATGATAGTAACATGTTAGTAAGCAGATAAGGTGCTGACCAGTCGAAAAGCAGGCCAACGATAAGCCAGCTGCATTGCTAGACTGGTGGATCCTAATGGAATAAGAGCCCCTATGGACAGCTTTTGGATTTTTTTGTACGTCTATCTATTTTTTTCTTAATAAACAGTGAGCTTCTTGAAGGAAGGCACCCCATCTTCACCATCTTTACATCTCTCATGCTAAACTTACTTCCTGGAACCTGTAAGTTCTTTGATTTAAGGATAGCATCCTTATCTTTATTGCTAGTCCTAGTACAAGGCATAACTTTTGGTAGAGACTATTCATCTATTTGCTGTATTTGTTGGATATATGTTGATGGAATGGCAAGTAAGATTTAAAAAGCTGCTTCTGGTGTCAGGTGGATGGGAAGTCCCTAAGCCTAAAATGACCACTGGAAGAAAAGGAACAAATTTTCTCTCTTCCTGGGAGCCACAAAAAAGCTGTTTCAAACTCTAAACTATACAGTTTAGTACCTAAATAACATAAGCTAGCTAGCATCCAAGTTTTGTACTAGAAAGGGTATGGACTAGGAGTCAGTGCTTTGTGTAAGTCTTTCCTTAAAAAGTCAACATGTTACCCCAAGTCTAGATATTTAACAACCTCCCCTCCTTCCCCCGCAAAGAACACTTAGCAGCAGCACTGAGTTTCCACTCTAGATTGTGTAGAGTCTGTTCTCAGGGGACGAACATGAAAGGATGAGTCCAGCATGAACACATTCTTGGGAAGGGGAACCGGAGAGTGAGATAAGGAAGGTACATGTTCCTGGCATTGGGGAAGCAGATGCCCTGGATGGACAACAGCATCCTGTGGGTCTCTGAGAAGGCACCTCCCAGACTTGCCTCCATATGGCAGCAGAAATGGAGATGACCAAGACTTTCTTTTTGCTAATCAACCAACTACCAGAAATGCTGCCCAGCCCTCGCTGGGCTGATTTCTGGTTGGGAGATGAGGACTTATGGGCAGGTGTGGGATTGCTTGTACTAGCTCTCTGGACTCACACCGGGCTAACTGCTTCCCCTAGGTCTTTTAAACCTTCACAGTAATCCACAATCTTTAGGAGTCAGTGGGGAGGGGAGTGAAGGTATATTGTTAGCTTATTGCCTCTCAGTTTTATCATCTGGAAAATAGGAAGAAGACGACACATCCTTTGAGAGTGTTGTGAGACCTAATGAGACAGCACATGTTAAATGCCTACCACAGTTTTTGGCACATGGTAGGCCCTCGCAGATGATCATTTCCAAGCCAGGTATCAGTATTTATCTAATCATTGATGGCAGAAACCAGTACTCATTTACTTCTTTATCCAACACATTGACAGAACATATTATGAACTGAATTATTCTTTAGAAACCAAAGACAGAAACGGTGGATATAGTGGGGGAGAGTCCTAAGAAGAGGGAGGGAGTGGAGGGGAGAATGTGAATGAACAGTGTCCTGGGGAAGCCATTTATTCAGCGAATGCCTGAATCGCTACAGCTGCCTCTGAAGTCCAGGAAGAAGAAAGCACACAGGTCAAGTCTGCACTTGGGCCAGATGCCTGTGGAGCTGCCCATGGGGCTTGGGGAGTTTCCATGGCAACTGAATCTGGCAGAAACTTCACAGTGGAACTCAAACAGAGGTGACTTCTTAAGAGTTCCTGGCCCAACGAGCTGATCATTAGCATTTAGCTCTGAGTAAGAGCTGTAGACAGTGGCAAGGTAGAAACTATCTTTCCCATAAAAACCACATCCTTCTCATCCAGGCCCTGTATTGCATCACAGGAAGCCAAGACAGGGAGGAGAAACTCCCTTTACAGAGTGTTTACTATGATTCAGGCATTACGCCTAGCACTCACATCTATCCGACCATTCACCCATCCAACCAGTTTTTACCGAGCATCACCTCTTTCTCCATATTGTTCTAGGCAAAGAGGGAATAACAATGAACACAAGGCAACCAATGTCCTTGAAGCTTACATTTTGGTGAAGCAAATTCACCTCATTTAATCCTTATAACAAACTGCTACTATCATCCCCATTTTACACATAGACAGAGGGACAGAACAACCAAATGACTTTCTAAGGTCACTCAACTTGCACATGGCAGAGGCAAGATTAGAACCAGCACTTTCCAACCTTTCCCCCATATCATGCCACCTTCCACTTCACCACAGAATAAAGGTCCCACCAAGGCATCATGTAGTTGCAGAAAGAGCATGACCTCTAAAGCTAGACCTGCTTGTGTTCAAATCCTGGCTTCACCACTAAGTCTCCATGTGACACTTGCCAGTGGGTCTAACCCTAAAAGGACAAAATATTTCCATCTGAAAAATGGAGGAGTGCTCTTCTTTCAGAGCTAATATGAGGACAAAACAGAACTCCATGCAACTGGAAAAAAATCAATAAATGACAGCTTCAGATCAATAACTGATAGCTCCAGATCATAACAGGAGCATCACCAAATGTCCAGGGTCACGGGTATTCTTGTTTCACATTCCAGTTCACAGTGCCCTCCCCATCACTTGCAAGAGAGAGCACTGTACTGTAGGAATAGAATTATACCAGGGTGTATTGATTGTTGGAACTGGAGAAAGTTAATAATCTAATTTCCCTTTCATTTCCCCTCCCTCTTACCACTCAACTCCTCTCATGGCAGCAGAGAATGGCATAAAATGCATTGCTTGAGAAATTCGACCGGAAATAACTCGGCATTGTTGATCCACACGCTGCCTATAATTTGGGGTTTGATTGATTCTCAGTTTGGAGATGCCAGGTTGAGAGAAGAAAATCAAATTTAAGTTAAATTTGGAATTGAATCAATCACATTTTACAATGAAGAAAATAGATCTAACCCCATCAGACCACTGTGTGCAGAAAACTTAAAGCTGCTATACTTCCATTGAATCCTTCCTCCCGATATCTCTGGGGGACAAAAAACTAGGTCCCAAGCTGAGAAATCATTTCTTCCTTTATTTTTTTAAAAAAAAATTTTTTTTCAACGTTTATTTATTTTTGGGACAGAGAGAGACAGAGCATGAACGGGAGAGGGGCAGAGAGAGAGGGAGACACAGAATCGGAAACAGGCTCCAGGCTCTGAGCCATCAGCCCAGAGCCCGACGCGGGGTTCGAACCCACGGAACGCGAGATCGTGACCTGGCTGAAGTCGGACGCTTAACCGACTGCGCCACCCAGGCGCCCCTCATTTCTTCCTTTAAATGGCATATGGGGTTGGGGTGAGGGACAGGGACTTGAAGGTCCCAGGACATTAGGGCGGAGGAGGGCA